TCAAAAACAAGGGAACAGCAAATGCGAAGTTCTGGAAGCCAGAGAATTGATACATAAACAAAGAAGAAAAACCTGGCAGCAGTTTAGTACTTCCAGGTACTGAAAAAAGAGGAGAAATTAATGAGGGTTTGCCTGTGATATCCACCCTATGTACCTAATATGTAACATGCAAGCAGAACAACATTGCAAAATCACCAAGAACACTCAGTGCAGAGCTTGTAGAAGGGCCTCAACATAAATTAGTTTCCACCTCCCACCAAATACAACAAAGATAGGCTAAAATAAAACTAACTGCATTTTTAGTGGTGAGGAAGAAGGGAGGTGGCATTTAGTGGTGTGGTAGTGAGTAGGAAACATGGCATAGCATAATAATAATAATAATAATAATAATAATAGTTCATGCAGCTTACTATGTGCCTGGTACTGTTCTAAGGACTTTAAAAGAACCATTTAAAATTCATGAAAAAGCCCTATGAGGTAATGTTATCATTCTCAGTTTCCAGATGAAGAAACAGGTGAGAAATTTTAAATAACTTGCCTACGGTTGCATAGCTGAGCCAGAATTTGAAAGCTTAAATTTAAACAGCCCATTTTTTGCATCTGAACTCTACCATTCACCCACTGTGTGGTCCTGGGTAAGTAACTAACTTCACTAACATCTCTCACATTAAAAATGGGGACATAATGAGGCAATTGTGAATATTGAATTTTAAAAAATCATAAAGTTCATGAAATATTATATATCCCCAATAAAATGTTAGTTTTCCTTCCTCTTCCTACAGCCCTCATGGCTCTTATCCATTTATTCAATGGTCATGTACTGACTGCCTATGAAAATATAATACTTAGCCAAAGACTTGGAAAAACACCTCAGACTGTTAACAGTCATTATCACTGAGATGAAGAATGAAAGTAGGCTGGTGTGAGATTTAACTCCTGTATACCAGTGCCAAGCCCATTAATTGGGCCTTATCCCTTTGGGAAAAAGCAGGAAGTATTAGGGAAAGTTCCCAAAACCACCACCCAGTAAGAATGAGCTCTATCATCTCCAGGACCTGAAATTATCACCAAATAGAATAGATGAGGCAGTTTGCAGGTACCAAGCATCCAGTTTACCCTAGTTCCTTTAGGTGACCTAGCCAAGTCATACAACAGGTACCAAAGACATGCAACAGGTCTGAGGTACCTTAAAAATTCTCCATTCCTCAGGCTCAATAAACTGGCTTTTATTATAACCTAAAAGCCATCTTTGTACTTTACTTTTGTTCTTTTTCTCAAACCCTTACTGTACTCCCTCTAGATATTCCACCCAGCTGGGGTCATTCTGACTTTGTCCTATTTACTGTTTATTTCCATTTCCTCTAGTATTTTTCATTTCAACTTCAATAATATGTGGTAAGGCTCTATAAAATTGATAAACAGGAGCATCTCAAAAATTTTAATAGTTTATAACCTGCTGTCATCTTGATGATCACAGCAATTTCAGTACACAACTTTAAATGCTACCTTTCATCCACCAGTCATTTCTCCACTATTTACAAAGCTACCAAACAGAATGTAATGTATATGAGAATATATATTTCACCACCTACCTTTGTTACATGTATTTTAACATGATACTCTGTTTTTTTTTTTTTTTTCTTTTTTCTTTTTTTTTTTGCGTTACGCGGGCCTCTCACTGTTGTGGCCTCTCCCGTTGCGGAGCACAGGCTCCGGACGCACAGGCTCCGGACGCACAGGCTCAGTGGCCATGGCTCACGGGCCCAGCCACTCCGCGGCATGTGGGATCTTCCCAGACCGGGGCACGAACCCGTGTCCCCTGCATCGGCAGGCGGACTCTCAACCACTGCGCCACCAGGGAAGCCCTGATACTCTGTTTTTAATTCTGGATGTTATTTTTAAATTTTCTATTTCTTTTTTGTTGTTAAAGAAGAAAGTCCAAGAGAGAATTTTGATATGTACCCATTTGAAAACCATAGATTTATATAAAAAGCTTGACATAAATGAAGAAAGATGGGCAAAAGGAGTATGTAATTTAGGAGAGAGAAGGTAGTTCCCAAATTTTACACTCTTTGGAGGACTTCATATCAAACATCAAACAATCTCTCATTGGTTTATGGTTATTATGTATAAAGAATTCTGGTAAGCCTTTAACTTAAATATTCTCACCTAATCCTACATTATAATGTAAAAACTGTTATAACTTCAATTTTATAGATAGAAAAAAAAAGGCAAAGATTAAGAAATGTTCCCAAGTCCACACAGCTAGTAAGTATTGGAATCATTGTAAATGCAGGTTTCTCTGACTCTAGGTACTGAACTTTCAAATATTCTGTAAAATCACCATATTTGACAACATGGCAAATGACAAAATAGTAATAATAATAATAATTTGGAGTGAGAAAATCTTTGTTTAAGTCTAAGATTTCACACTTATTAGCTGAATATTCATCGAGTCCAAGCAGAGTCTCAGGATACTTCCATCCTGTGGTCACACCAACACCTGGCTCTCAAGTTCACTCTAGTATTTGTTTCCATTCCACCCAGACAAATGAACATAGAATCATGGAAAGAAATTTTTAACTGTGTGCATAACTCACTGACTAGAACTCAGTCACATGACCATTCCTAATTTCACTGGAGTCTTAAAAATGTAGTGGAGCTATGTTTCCAGGAAGAAAAGTTAGCAGGTTTGACATCAGCTAGTAGTCTCCTCCATAAAGTGTATATGTAAAGCCCCATTATTTGATTAATTAGTAGTAATTGCAACTGCTAATTTAAGCCTTTGATGCCCTTGAAAATTAATAAAATAAAAGTATACTTCAAAGGAAAAAAAATAAAGTAATATGTGTGATTCAGAATATTAACATTTGTGGAGCCAACCAACGTTGAAACAAAGAGGCATTTCAACCTTTCACTTGGTGATGACCTACCTAGGAGAACATGCCTCTTGAAAAGAATTTTCTTCATCCCTCTCCAGAAGAGAAGAGGAAACACAAGAAGAAGTACCTGGTGCAGAACCCCAATCCCTACTTCATGGATGTGAAATGCCCAGGATGCTATAAAATCACCACCATCTTTAGCCATGCACAAACAGTAGTTTTGTGTGTTGGCTGCTCTACTGTCCTGTGCTAGCCCACAGGAGGAAAAGCAAGGCTTACAGAAGGATGCTCCTTCCAAGGGAAGCAGCACTAAAAGCACTTTGAATCAAGATGAACGGGAAACCATCCCAATAAACACATTTTGGATTAAAAAATAAAACAGGCATTTCAATATACAAAAATGAAGAGTGAACTACCTTGAGTAGACAGCAACAAGGCATCTCTCCAAAGAAAAATGTCTTTATTTGACTAAGCTAAGGTTAAATAACCTTCACTAGAGAGAATCCCAAAGCAGGAGAGTGTGCTACATAAAAATGTTTGTTTGTTCTTTTCTTACACAATATCACTTTGCATTCCAAATACTCCAGCTAATCTCATTAAAGGTTGGTGAGGGGAAGAGAGTAAAGAGAGAATTTAATTCAGCATGTAATTATTGTTGAGTGGAAGACCATTTTTTTTCAATAAATGAGTAAACTATGAATAATGTTTCACATACTAATTGAAAAACTTCAAGTGAATCAATATTAAAAAATACCCAATTGCTATGTATACCCATATGCCTACTGCAGACACAAATTGAATGAGCATTTTCTGACTTCCTGAGAAATTATCTATCTATATCAAAATATGTATCTATAGATTCATATCCATAAAATATGTGTGCATATCTACAAATTCTCAAAATATTCTGAAAATATTTATGAAACTCAATATCAACAAAAAAAGAATCACATTTAATAGATGAAAGACAAATATGGGCTGAACTGAGGTACCCTCAAAAGCCAGAATTAGATTTTACTCTAAAATCTAAACTAATAAAATGTGTATCGAAAATACAGGATTAGCCATAAATGAGAGTAAAACAAGATATTGTGAATAAGTGAGTAATGGACTAGTTTGGTAAAGTTCAGCACTTTAATTCCTATGATATAAGGATTCACTGCTTGCTATGCAGAAAACTGGTTTATGTTCTTCACGTGAGAAAAATTAAAATGGTAGAAAAGTGACCAATCATGAGAGTGGGGGGTGGGAAGAGTGTGTTGATTCTGCTCATTTAGCATGGTTCAAGATTCAAAGTGGATGGAGTTCTGGCCAATCCAACATTAGCAATCTGGTTGCACAGGTTAGGCTTTACCTGAAAGATATTTAAATCAGCTAATTGATTCCTTGTTCTCCACTTAAACTTCTTAAGAAGGTTTCTTCCAATGTATTTTCCCTACAGAAAGAGAATATGCTAGAGAAGCTGAATTAAACATTCTGATTCACTTGACAGATTAATTTCTCTGTGTAAATGAACAATGACATTTTCATTCATACATATCAGTGGTTTATACCCATCAGTTGCTGTGAATATGAGTCTGTGCACAGAGACAGCTTTCCTCTTAAATTGCAAACAAACTGATCCTGGGAGACTGTTATCCATTCCTTGAACTGTGATGAATCCACCAAAGCAAATGCTACTGGGTTTCTGAGCAGCCAGTCCCTCTTCCCCATGTGACATAACCTTGTTCTGGTGTACTTGTTTCTTGGAAAAGTTTTAATTGCTAATTTTTGTTTTGCTAATTGTCTAATTTACTTTAACCTCAACATTTAATTCTAGAATATTGTGAGATTGTTTAATTTATGGGTCATTAAGTTCTAGATGTTTTTTCCCTTTTTTTCTTGCTTCTTATTTAAGGACACGAACATATAAAAGAAGATGAAGTACACATGAATGATTACTAAGTGAAATCTGTATATTTTTTATCTTACTGAAAGATTAGAGAGGTTGACTAATACTATTATATATGTACTTTAAGGGCTATTATTAATTTTCAATTATAGTACTTTTATATTTGCTCCCAATGTTATTTGCAATTTTTTGATCGTCAGAGTTGTTAATTAGCATATGTTTTATAGCCTCATGGATCCTGATTCCAGAAGTATCAGGAGCTCTTTCAAGAAATTAGATGATCCATCACCACTGCCTTCATCCAAACAGACTATTTAAGGTAAATCACCTTTTCCATTTATTAGCTGTGAAACTTCTGGTAATCATTTTAAGTTTTCTGTCTTCAGTATGAGTAAGCAAGGCATTTGTAGGACTAAATATAGTACATAAGGTAAAACTATGCCAAAAATTTTTTGAAAGTGATTTTTGTATGCAAATGATAAATTTATTGCTAATGAGAGACATCAGATTTTTATAACCTTCCTAAACTAAATAACTGTCATGAGGTGATTATAATTATATGCATAAACCATAATTATTCATTGTATGATGTTGAGTCAACAGCAAATTTTCACATGTTTATGAAACATATTAATATTATGTGTATATTATCAATCAAATCAGTCTTAAATTTTAACATCTTCAATTTTTCCAAGATTAAATAAAAACTGTTTACAGGATAAATGTGACATGAAAATTTTGCTTTTTATATTCTCATGCTAAAACTTAAAATAATGTTAGTTCTTTAACACATTTCCAGAATGGCATTAACCTGATATTTTTCAAGATTAAATTTTATTAAAGAAACTTATGCATGTCCTAGTTTAGGATAAGCTTAAATGCTAAAATAAATCTCCCTAAGTTTAATGTTCTAAAAATAATTTAAGTTACTATCCTAGAGGACTACTAATAATTTTATGGTACTCATAAAAAAGAAAACACACTCTAAGTAAGTACAAAAAATGCCTGGAATTGTAGAACTAGTGCAAAATTCTTAACTTCAACTAATTATATTTTACTCTTGAAACTCAATAATACTCCATACAGGCTGAAGTCATTGATTTTCTGAGTTTACTTGCATAATATTTAGTTCTAAACTTAAATGTTAGACTTCATAAAATACAAGAAAATGGGCATTTATAGATGAAACGTATTTTTAAAAGATAGAGCTTATAAATTCATAAAATCTCAAGGATAGGAGAAACATTATCACATTTTATATAGCATTTTTCAAAAGTTGAGCATAAAAGCTACAACACAAAAGTCCCCAAAGAGAAAATCATACAGGTCATAGTAGCAAATAACAAATGAATAAATCTAGAAATTTATAGCAAATAGTTAAGGAAAAAAATCACTTTAGTCTGAAAATATATTCGCAGGTAAACATTATGTCAAAAATTGTTTTGCAAAGCTACAAACCTCATATTTACACAGTTACAAACTGTGAAAATCTTTTGTCAAAACTTATGACAAAAGCTACTAGAGCTGTAATTAAAGATAAAGCCTTGGGCTTCCCTGGTGGCGCAGTGGTTGAGAGTCCGCCTGCCGATGCCGGGGACACGGGTTGGTGCCCCGGTCCGGGAAGATCCCACATGCCGCGGAGCGGCTGGGCCCGTGAGCCATGGCCGCTGAGCCTGCGCGTCCGGAGCCTGTGCTCCGCAACGGGAGAGGCCACAGCAGTGAGAGGCCCGCGTACCGTAAAAAAAATAAATAAATAAATAAAAATAAATAAAAAAAAAAAAAAAAAAAAAAAAAAAGATAAAGCCTTAAATGTCAACTTTATTAAAAAAGAACATTTTAACAAAAAATAGGCATTTGAACTCAGATAATTAAAACATGATGAATCCTAAGAAAAGTATGAGAAAGGAAATATAGTAATAAAGGAAAAAGTAGGAATAATTGAAAATTTAAAATAGCAAAACATTTACATTTTCTGAATAAAAAGTAAACTGTGCATTCCTATATTTATCTGTTTTGTACATGTATTTCTTCTGCCTGGGACTTATTCCTTTATCTTACCTCTGGAAACTTTGTACTCCTTTTCTATGAATCAACTGAATTACCATCTTCATTCTGAGAACTCCCTGATTCTTCGCTCATATACCTTGCATGTTCCTCATTAGAGGTATTGAAACATTGAATCTTTTGAATAAATGATTTTCTATATGATATCACCACACATTTCAAAGGAAAAATGTAGGATGTAACATATTAAGCAAGCAGTTGATTTTGTTGAAAAAATTACACATGTGTTAGTTTGAATTGGAATTTTAAAAATTGCGTTTAGTGACTGGCTATTGCTGATATATAGAAATACTATACCAAATTATTTGCTTTAATATTAACTGGCTTCTGAATTTTATTGGATTTTCTAGTTATACAATTATATTCAAAAAGACATCTCATTCTGCATATTCTAATTTCTTCATCTTTATATTAAAACGTCTTGATTATTAAGACAAATCAAAGGAAAATATTTGGATATAATCAATAATTAAGAGCATGCACACTGGTGTAATTTTGCCCAGATGTGAAACCTGGGTCTGCAACCTATCTACCACGTGACCTTGGGAAAGTTACTTATCTCCTTTTTGCCTCAGTTTCTTCCCAGTAACTATCTTTTAAGGTGGGTTTGAGGTTTAAATGAATTAAAACTTGTTATATGCTTAGAATAGTGTCTGGTATTGTTTAACCTTTAAGGCAAATGTCTAAAAGACATAGGATAAAAAACATTTCAAGTATTTTTAAGAATTTTATGTGTTTATTTAAACTATACTCAATAAATACTGTTTAATTAACATTTCCACCACTTTTATTTGTGCAAACTTTGCTTTCTCTGTCACATTCTATCTGCAGGACATTAGGCAGCTTTACTTAACATGTGTACACTTCAGGATCTTTATCTGTAAAATGTGGATTTTAATAGTACCATCCATATAGATTTGTGTATAAAAAATAGGATAATGGTAAAATAAGAAAGATTTTAGAACATTTTAAGCTTTCACCAAATGCTAAATAATGTTATTGACATAAGTGAGGCATTGAATATTTTATAAAGGTATTTCATATTGAAAACACAGATTAACCATTAATTTGTGTTGGGGCAACTGACCATTCATTACAGCTAAATAAAAAAGTTGCTTTTCTATATTACACATTACACAAAAACAATTTTATATGTAAAATAGAAATCATTACAGTACTAGAAAAAATATAGGTGGGCATTAGTATAATTTCATAAAGAAAATTTTCAAAGAAAATTTGAAAATTAGTATAATTTTTCAAAGAAAAAAAGTCTATTTCATCCTAGTGATATAATCAAAACTTATATAACATCAGAGTAGAAATTATGTTATTAGAGAAAACTTGCTGAATTTTCTTGAATACAGACTCTGCAGAAAATTATGGGATTTTTATAACCTTCCTAAACTAAATAACTGTCATGAGGTGATTATAATTATATGCATAAACCATAATTATCCATTGTATGATGTTGAGTCAACAGCAAATTTTCACATGTTTATGAAACATATTAATATTATGTGTATATTATCAATCAAATCAGTGCTCTCTTCTGTGCTCTCAAGGGCTATGAAATCTGGTCAGATATCCTTGAATAAAATAACTTGTGAAACGTATGAAGCAGAACATAAGATGCATGGTAAATCACACATGATCTGTAATCCAAGTCAAATTATAGCCAACCTTGAGGACAATTATATAAAATGCAACTGTGCTATTTTTCAGAATGTTATCAATCCTTGTCACATTTTTATAGGCTCCAGCTCAGATTTTGTTTTTAATATGGAAAGTTAAAATTCTAGTGTCTTTCCAGAAAAGAAGAAATTATTCATTCTCAATGAATTATTTCATATTTCATGGAAAATTTAGCCAAATTTAATCTATATTGCTTCTTAATTTTTATTTTTAAGAAACACAGACATTAAAATGCTCTCTCTGGGTTTTCTTTGTGAGTATCTGGAAAATACAGAGTATCATCATAGCCCTATGTGTCACTGTTTTTCTTTTCAATTCTATAAGCAGACACTGTATTTAATTTAGGGAGTATGCTTTGCTTTAGTAAATTGGATGAAAAATAGATTTTCTAAAAAATTAAGCCTGATTTATCCCTCATTAACTTCTCAAATTATTGAAAATCTCAATAGTGTGATCTGGGAATATTTTCCTAAGGAATAGCTAAATTTTATAAACATTACACTATCTGTTCATTCTGACAAAACTAATATTTCTATTTAGGCAATACACTTTGGGTTTTTTCTATTTATTTTCAGTCTAATTAATTTGAGAATCTAGAGTTTCACCTGGAGACACAAAGGAGGCTCCATGGTGCTCATTTGAGATATTGCAATATTCTGATGCTTCCAAAAATCAGTTAAATTGGCTCTATAATCATTCCTTTTGGTCTTGCTGTTGAAGGTGCAGTTTAGTGGTTTCTCTGATTGCTATACAGAGCTTTATGTTCCTAGAGGACAGGAAGATACAGAACTTACTTCTTTTCAAGCATAGTCACCGTGTTCTAGCCACACTTGCCTTCCTCTTGCTCTGAATCATCAACCTCATGCTGGCCATGATATCTTTGCACCTGCTGGGTTTTGGTTTTGTTTTGGTTTTTGTCTGAAAAATTTTACCCAGAATCTTCCTGTATCTGAGTCTTCTGTATTGTTCATGTGTTAGAATATTTATATTACTTACTCTAGTTAGCTTTCCCAGATTATTCCATCTAAAACAGCAGAAACCACACCCCTTCCAACACACACACACACACACACACACACACACACACACACACGCACACACAAACACCTGGCCAGCCACTACCACAGAACCTCATTTCCTTTTCTTTATTATTCTGTGTCATGATTGTGTTCGGTTATTTATTTGTCTTATATGTCTCCCCTACTATAATATAAGATCCATGAGAGCAGGGACAGAGGTTCTTTCTTGTACCTCCAGCTTGGAGGACAGGGTCTGATCTACTGAGTGGCCCTCGAGGGTAAGATAATAGAAAGAAATAAGAGAGGAAAGAAGGAAGGAAGAGCAAAGGAGCGAGAATGGAAGATAAGACAGAAGACAAATAGCAGTCCAAGTTATAGGCATGTTAAAGGAGCCACTTGGCCTCTCAAATTCCATTATTACTCTATCAACTCTCATAGTATAAACACCCACTTGAGATTTAAATTCAAGGGTGCTTCACTTGGGAAAGACTACTGTGCTGTGCAAAGTCAAGATCAACATGTCAGTGCTGCTATTTTCTTTTAT